GCGTCGCGTTTATTCGTAATTGCGCGAAAGCGCTTCCGAGGCGCTTCACTTCGCAATTTTCCTGGAGCCCGAGGGTGGCGTATCCCTCCCTGCAAAAAGACGGAAATCCATCCGACGAGAATCCCCGCACACATATCCGAGCCCGAATCCAGGTGAAGTCTCTCACGTCCGACCACCTCGGAATCGAAGTGCTCGCGAAAAGGCGGATCTGGGTCGCGAACCGACTATTATTTCTCATCGCCGCTGTCCGCCGCGGAGAATGTCTCTCCGGTTTGACGTGCCGCATAAAGTGCTCCGGTCGATCGTTACATTTATTGCGCGTTTACCCGGGAATCAATGAAATGGAACGCCGTCCAATCTGGGACCGCCGACGAAATACCTCATTCGGGCCACCCGGAGAATGGCAAAAATTCCAGCGCTCCGTCTCGCCGAGTTCGCTAAAAAATGTTCGGTGTTTTCGAGGTACTTCTTGATTCGGACGAGTACTTCATCGAGGAGGGGTACACTTATGTAATGTTACTAGCTTTCCGCCCCGACTACGTTCAGGCGGATAAAACGCTCGCTCGGCCGTTTCTTCGTTGTCATAAATCAATATTTCACGGAAAACAACGTTCGCAATTGGCAAGTGCCGTATTCCGCCCCACCTTGTACAGGGTGTTAGAGACATGGTGGACTCGGATTACACGGCTGACAAACTAACGCCGGAATTACGAGAATTCAGGTTATAGTTTCATAGTTTCATTTCTAACGTGCTAATTTCGTCTTTGGCGCACATCATTTGAAATATGTAGGTATATCTGGAAAATACGTGAGGGCCGTGAATTACAAAATCCATAAAATTATGAGAATATTGACTTTTCATGTTTCCGGATGAAAGCCCATTTACAGGATACAGCGGTGGAATGACGGCGCGTAGCTTTGCGTGAAATATTTTTATTTCAACTGGTTTCATCAATCATTCGACCTCGTTCACATCGACGTGGATTTATGACTCCGAAATCAGAGCTTTTAAATCAACTTTCTTAACACTCTTTTCTACTAGAAGGTCCAAATTCGTCTAATATAACCGTAACACCCCTGAACATAAAAAGAAGTGCACCGAACGCGGCAGTCTCGATCACCAAACGGTCCATCCACGGGTGATCATATCCCACGTCACCCCTGTATCCACCTTCCCTCTTGCAGGGTACAACAGGGGGTTAACTTTATTCACGGAATGGGTCCCCGTTTCGACGCCCGGGAGAACTATCTGTATTGGCAATTTCCGCGAAGCGGTGGCGTCGCCTTTCGAGGGATTAGAAAATAATATTATTCGACGATCGCCAACCGAAGCGCTGGAAACGGCAGCTATCGATCCGGCTAACCGGAAGTTATTTACTCGTTATTTACCCACATTGCCCGTAGGGGGGAAAAATTGTACGAAACAAGGGATCCCGATTGAACGGCTCCAACTATTTGTGACCGAGTCATCCAGCGATTCCGACCAGAACTTTGAACAATCCTTCGGTTATCATTCCCAGGACCCCCTCCAGCATCCCACGATTGGCGGATGAAATAATGCGGAACTAAAGTTGCGCTAACTTAAATGATATAAAATAAGGTTACGTCATAAAGCCGTCTTTTCTCGTCGTATTTCGAGGCGCATCCTCGCGGCTTGCACCCCGTCTTTCTCGGCTCCGTGGTAATAGCTTTCGAAATGCAGTCCCGGAACTCTGGCGGTGTACTTCGCCGCAGCCTCGCTTCGCCTAGGAGTGCACTCTGTCGGAACGTTACTTCGGGTTATCTATATGCATCCAGTTTACGGTCCCTCTGCCTTAAAGGAAAGCACACCCCCCGAAGAGCGCCAACGAGAAAGGGGCCGAACGAAAGAAGGATTCGTAATTGGGAGCCTCTTTGTCCTCCCACTCCCGCGCGCCGGGCCGACCGAGCCTCCCGGGCCGAGGAAGCCTTATTCGCCTGCGGATTAATTAATTAAAAATGATTCATTAATATAACATTCAGAGTGAATCTACCTTTCAGACGACGCCTCTTCTTTGGAAGGAAGCGTCATGATTGAGCTTACAAGGTGTCCTGAGAAGTGGCTTTCGGAAGAGAACACACCTTGAGGTGTGGCACTCGGAGCCAAGATTAATATCTGTCGCTTTAATGCGTTGGTAAGTGGGAAAATGAGATTACTTGTCAAGAGATAGGATTTTGGATTTTATGGATGAATAATAATTTAACATTTAATATTTTCGACATTGGTTGGTTTTAGACTTCAGGAGTAATATTTTTCGATTTTTTTGACTTTTCTTATCCAATTTGCCCTTTTCTGCAAGGATATGGAGTTTGACTTCGGGGACAAAGCTCTCAAGTGCTTGAAATCTACCAACGCGAGCATTTATTGATAAAACTGCTCCCGTTATTCCTTTCCAAAGATCCAATCCAGCTGTTTCCTTTACAATTATACCTCAAGCGCGGATATTGCGTCCGAAAGGAAAGAGCTTCAATCGATGTACAGTTCCTTTCTTCCTTTACTGCCGGCATTTTTATCGGGACAAGGGTGTTCTCGATTCGTGTTAAAATCTGTCGAAGGTAACGACGTTGGTTGTCGTTTTAGTTACACGTAATCTTAGGAAGATATGTCGGGTAAAAAGCTAAGTCCACAAAACGGAGACGCAACTTCCATTCCAGTACCAGAACTCGGAATCAAAGGAGCGGAAGGACGTCGTTGTTTTATAATATGCACGATATATATAAATATGCACGAAGTGTTACCACTTCGTTGTTTACTTAAAAGAAACAAATGTAGAGACGTGCCAGATGAAGTAGAAATACGGGAAATCAGAAGACACGGCTGAATTTTTTCAAGTCACTACGAAGGACCCTTTCTCGGATTGAAATTAACTTCCGCAAGAGTGCGATACGTCCCACCGTGAAAATCAAGCCAAGAATAATTCTACCTCCTGGATTTTACGGTGGCAAGCCTGGAAGGGTAATTCGTGTCCCATTCTTAACTCGGCCAGCAGCCCTTCGTCAATTACGAGTTCCATCGAACTTCTTAGTCCCCCACTTTATTCGTGGATCCAGGCTTAAACTTCGCCGCGGCAGTGCACTGGTTTTGCGAATACGATCTTGAAAAGTTCCCGGCTCACTTTGCAATACCACCGTGCAGTCTTAGGCGAGCGAAACGGCGGGCAACTACGCGGAACTACCGGCTGCATAAGCGGAGCATCGGTGGTCGCTTCTTGCGGCTTTGGGCCGGAAGTTGACTTAAGTGCTCGGAAGTTACAGCACGCCGAGATAATCGAGCAGAGAGGAATCGGAACGATTCGCACCGAGCCGTTTTTCGACCGTCAATTTGATTGGCAGCCTGCGGGGCGAAACTCGCTAGAGGCTCCCGGAAAACTAGATGTCTGGCCGGGCGAATTCGGGGAGGGAAAACGCCGGGAGAAGAATGAAATTGGAAGTTATCAGGGAAGGAGAAAAAGCCGGAGAGCCGAAGGTGCAAGAACGAAGGCACCGGCTTCGAGAACTCGCCCTTATGACTCCTTCGAGACGTGCGATGTGACGTGAAACGTAACTGTCTCATCTTCGAGTTCTCCGCTACGCGCTTGCCTCTTTGTACGGTTATATCTTATTCCGGGCATCTCTATTCTTCCCGGATGCTCCGGCGCAGGTTCTAAATTTCATTGAACTCTCGAAGATGCCGGCAGGGGAATAAAATGAACGGCCGTTGAAGTTCTCCCGCCATATTTCTCGGGAGCGTCGAGGCATGGGTAGACGCGCGGAAGGGAAATGCGATATGGTTCGAAAATGCAATATTTTTAGCTGTTACCTAGTTTAAGCGACGGCGTTGAACGTGGGGGAAGGAGGTTACTTCCTCCCAATCGGAATGAAATTGTAGGAGTTTCATTTTTAACGCTTTCCTAGAAATATACATTATGTTTCTTGTATGCGATACCTGGAACACCCGGAAAAGCGAGAGTATGCTCCAACATCTAATTTATACGCGGTTTCTTAATTTTAAATAATGCGAAAAAATTGAAGAAACGACAGTCATAGCTTTTTAATGGTTAAACAAATTTTTTTTTGCGCTTTGTCTTCGCGCTTTCGCTTATATCTGGTCCATTAAGCGTTTTCTCGTATCGAAGAATTATGAGAAACCCAAGGGAATGATAATTACAGAGAGATACATTTTCTAGAACAAATTCGTGATATCGGAAATTCATCCAAGGATCGACCTCGGGAATAACTGGACTTTCGAGCAAATTCGATTGGTCGGTTCTAGGAAGCTGGTAACCCGATTTACACGTCATCAGGCAATGTATAGCCGAAATAGTCGCAAGTCTCCTGTCCGTCTCTATATCAAATATTGAAGTTTCCGGATTTCATCGAAGTACGAAATGCTCGAGGCAAGGACCATCGAATAATCGTCGACCGTACATGGGCTGCAATAGCCAGAACTGACTTCGTCCATACCAAGACTAACTTTAACAGGCACATCAAGTTACGAACTGTCGAACGCACACGTTCTGTGCTATCCCGAGGAAATTTATTACACTTCCGCAGGCAACAACCGAAATTCGCCAAATAATAATCTCGACTGTTCAACTTAATATTAAGCGTACCATCCATACCCCTTTTTCGACCTCTCATTTCAAATTCCTATTCAGAAAAATACCTGCACGGAACTGAAGTGGATTTATATATGCCTCTCTTAAAAAATCATGAAAATCTCTTTTATAATGTTATTCCACATTTTAAGGTGTAGATAGTTTCTATGAGGATATTGTAGTTACTGCACAGAGAAATAAAATAAAAAAAGAAACAGTTAAAATATTCCCGGACGTTTTAACTATTATCGGTCGTGCGTTACCTCGTACATAACCTTGCAACGTAACCATATCAGTCAAATGTTGCGTGGGAAATTACCAGGTCGAACTGCAGTAAAATAGGTATCAATTATCGATGGCACGTATCTGCTTTTAGTTGTATATTTGCGCAGTAGCAGACAACACTTTCAGTGACGATGCGAAACTTATTTCACGTATATTATAATATGTTATTCAGAAAAAAATTAGTCAATAGAATTGTAGCAATGGGAAAATTAATAGTGATATCGAGTGACATTCAAATAAATGAAGATTCGAAAAACGCTTTCGATCTCTGTGACAATCTTAACAATGGCAACTGGTATTATATGTCAGTCCAGGAAAGAAATTCTTACGTACCAAGTACTGAAGCGAAGAGAAATGGACAATTGAACGAGAAAGTATTTGTAAGTAGGTATAATGAAAATTGAATCGCATGATATTGAACATTTACCTCGAAATATTCCGTTTAAAAGTAGTCGTAGTAGCAGCAGTAACAGGAGCAGTTACTATAAATTCTTACTATACTAATAAAAAGTGCCGACAAATATAAATTATAACTTCTTTTCCCGGTACCAAAATAGTGCACGTAAAAAAGTAAAAAGATTCGCAGTACCTGTAATTGGAACAAAATAGCAAGTACGAGTGCAACCGAGTTGACATAACCCGATAAAAACTGCGAGACTGAATTTACAATTATGGCTTTTTTATGGCATATCATTCTTGAAGGAAGGAGAGCCAATTAATGGCCTCCAAGGAAGTGTTGGAAGCGATAAACATTTTACATTCTCGTTGTAAACTTCTATGAAATGGCAGCATAAATGGAATATGTACAGCCATAGCTACTCGATATATTTCTGAGCTGCAGGGGTATTAAGAGAAGTTATTGAAACCCGAAACATACGTATGTTCGCGCAGGTACTTCCATGCCATATAGGCATATCCTAAGAATAAAGGATGAGGGTATAAAGATCGGGAAACGTTATGAGAAAATTCAATAATAGATCCTGCATATGCCAGGGGAAACAAAGCTGGCAAAAGTATCTATAGAATTTTTAAAGCAGATTATATGAACCATTGTTATAGACTAAAAGCTCATCATCGACTGTATCATGTTTTCTAAGTCAGACTATCCGGATGGATGATTCGAAATTTTTGCTAAGTACACAATATATTATTCAGTTCTGGCACACTCGTTATCGAGAGTCATGGCAGCTGTTCAATCTAACCGCACACTTCATGACATTAATGTTTGCAGGCGTGAATCCTGTTTTTCGGGGATGCTTCTTCAGGTACATTATAAAATGCCAGCCATTTTAGAAAAACTGAACCAAAAGTTACTTTCTAGGCAAATCCGAATTAGCGATGTAAAAAAATCATCTAAAAACCTGATTTACTTGTGATATCTGAATAAACGTTAAAAATGATTCTCGGAAGAAATAATCATATTACCTTCGTTACCGTCTTTTAAAAAGAATTGTAATTTCCTCATTGCCATCTCGGGACAGAATTCTCATTACAGAACTAATCATAAAGTAATACTAGCTTCTAGAAAATTCACCCTTGGTGAGTTTTTATACAAATTCGGTGTAATTATAAATGGTGCATTCGTCCCGATGACTGATTGCCCGGAAGCGCAAAAGCGCGAGGATGATTTCCGGCATATTCTCAACGCGCGTTATCATCTCCGTTTTCATTGAAAAGCAAGATTCTATGCATCCACCATATGTAAATCCGATGCGCAAAGAAAATATCCCCATTGCATACACGGTGATCATCCACCTGGAAACAGGCTAAAAATAATATCGGCATATAAGCAAATGGCTGCTTGCGGAAATGTGTACAGAGTAAACAGTAGCACGGTAGAATATCACATTTACTACTCTGTACATTATACCCCTAACGGACATCCTCTGTGCTGTGTACGCTGTTTTAACGTCGTAAATGACACGATGAGAAAATATAAATATACAGGAAGCTGCAGCCAAATAATGCAAAAATGTCGGGTCGCACAGCCTAACAACGTTTTCTCGGGAAAGAACATTTCAATATTTCACTACGACAACTCTTTCTTCGTTCCGGATATTCAATATTTATAAAATGTATGCAAATAATCGCCGTAAAAAGCTAAATACATAAATGACTTGACGGAATCACTTAACGCACCAATACGCTTTATACGAGCTAAAAGATGCTGTGAACACAGTAATTACATTCGTTAAGTCCATTAACCAAAGAAACATAAGGATACCCGGTTCGTAGAAATTGCATATCTGGTGTATTTTTCTTTTTTTCAATTTTCTTTTAAACACTTGAACGAAAAACCAGTGATTCCCAAAAACTGAAACGAAAAACCATTAGATGGAAATAATTGATGACCTCTTAACGTAGTTAAAAATAAATTATGCTCGGTCATTGGCACTTGGCACGATGAAACGTCATGCGCCAAAATGTCTGCTATTTTCAGGCAATTCTCGCTCCTGTCCGATGTAAATAACCATGACATCGAGTCAATAAATACTGAATCTTCCGTCTTATCAGAGAGCAAACTCCGCTGGAAACGACTGATGCACGCTCGTTGATTTTCTTTCTAGACAAGGGAACGCTTCTCAACTTAGTGGACGGTACCGAGAAGGTGCCTCACGGTACACGGATGGTCCTGTGCCCCGTAAAGACGTCATTCAAATACAGAGTTTGGCCCCACTGGCTCGCCGCTGTTGAAGGTTAGTGATCATTTCCGATAATAATCTCTTATCGAAGACGCGTTCATCGCCGCCAGCTCAGCCATTAAAGAGCAGTCCCGCGAGTGTTCCGATTCCGTGAAAGAGATCGACAGACTACGAGCATTTATTCTAAAACTGATGAAAAGGTAACTGTAAAGAAATGCTACATGCCGAAGTGGGACAACGTGGGGTCGAAAGTGTAATCCGATGGACTCCCCTTACATAAGTACGCCTAGAACGCATTCGCCAAAGTTATATCGTGATAAAATCTGCATGCGTCCATCAGAATTCGCTTGCATCGAAAACCATCACTCGCCGAATTCAATTCGCCTGGAGCGAAATGACAATTTGACGTAATGCATGAATTACCTAGACCGAATCGATTTTCAGTGTGTCTGCTGTCCATTGTGATCGGGCTATGCGGAGGATGGACCTCGCCATATTTAGCCAAGTTGACCAGCGAGAACTCGACGAATCGCATCACGGAAAGCGAGGCTTCCTGGGTGGCATCCTACATCAACATCGGGAGGACCCTGGGCGCCGTGATGGGCGGGATTTCCACGGAATACATAGGCAGTAAGAAGACGGTATGGTATACGGGGATCCCCCTGCTTCTGGGCTGGGTGGTACTCACGGTGGCGGAGTCGGTCGTATGGATCTACGTGTCCAGGGTCTCCTTCGGGATAGGCATGGGGATGTTTTTCGCCTGCTTCCCCTTGTACATAGGGGAGATCGCGGACCCATCGATCCGCGGAGCGTTGGTCAGTGTGATCATGAACGGCTTCCCCATCGGCAATCTTCTGGGCAACGTGATGGGCCCGTACATGGACATGATCACGTTCTCCTGCGTGAGCCTGGTGCTCAACATAGTATTCCTCCTGTTATTCGTTCTTCTGCCCGACTCGCCGCATTTCCTGATCCGCCATGACAGGATCGAGGAAGCGACAAAATCCATCGAGTGGTACCACCGGGGTGTCGACGTACCCAGTGAGGTGTTGTCTCTCAAGGATTTCGTGCAGACAAACTCCCTGACCCTGGTCGACAAATGGCGGGAGATCAACACCCCCAGGAACAGGAAGAGTCTCTTGGTGATTGGCCTGCTATTTATTTTCATGCAACTCAGCGGCGTCTACAGCATTGTTTATTACATGGAGATCCTCATGCGAGAAGCCAAAGTCACGGTCCTCGATCCCGCCGAGGTAGTGATCATCAGCAGCATCGCCGGAATAGTGTCGGGCTGGATTTCCGTGTTTGCAATTGACAGATGTGGCAGAAAGGTACTTCTGACCATTTCAACAAGCGGCGTGGCCGTCTCCATAGCTGCCCTTGGGGTCCATTATACCTTGTTGACCAACGGCTACGATCCCGCCCCGCTGCAGGCCCTGCCGATCGCCTCCATGTGCTTCTTTCAACTGTTTGTCTGCATCGGGATCATGCCGATACCCAGCACGATCCTCAGCGAGATGTTCGCCCCCAACGTCAAAGGCGTCGCGGCGTTCGTGGCTAGCATCACTTCCGGAGTGTTTGCCTTCCTCTCGAGCAAGACCTTCCAACCTTTGGTGGATCTACTTTCCACGGAGTATGTCCTTTACTTATATGCAATCGGTATGCTGATCTTCATGACGCTCAGCTTGCTTTGCGTTCCCGAAACCAAGGGGAAATCTCTACAAGATATACAAAAGATGCTGGAAAACAAATAAAGAGAAACAGATCTCAAGAGTCATTAGGGACTGTTGATAACGTACCTTTGGACCGACTATCCAACGACTAGGTCAAATGAAGATCAGAAAACTTCACTTTGAAAGACTAGGAGCAGGTTGTCACGCTTAGAATTTTAGATATGTGATACCTAATAAAGTAGATTAACGTGCATTCCGACACAATTAAAATTATTAATGGTACCGAAAATGATAAAAAACTGAGATAATGTTACCGGTAAGCAAGGAGGCAACAAATAATTGGCTTCATCCGTCCTAGTTCTTAGTGTTGTTCATAGTCTTTTACGAATTGATGTATTTGTATGTGTCTCTTTTTAATAAACTAATGTTTTTGACCACAGAATAATTATTTGTAATTAATACAATTCTCGTACCAAGCCCCACGTTTATAGACGATTCTGCAACCTTCAACTTCGAAAGTTTAGTAGAGATAGTGCCGCATCGCTGAGATCAATAGTGATCCACCCAATGTTCTTTTACGCAGCATCTTGGATCTTATCGAAATTTCCGTTTGTCATACGTCACTAAGACATCACGACATATCTAAGATAAGACGGACCTATTACCCTCGTCACCCATCACGGGAAAGTAAAAAACACCTGTCTCCTTTAAGTCCATCGAAAGTACGCAGCTCATCGTCAATTTACATCATGCTATGTGGGAAGATTCATTATGCATACACAACTTGGCGCGACTTTAGCATACACATGTGTGTCGCACCCCTACCAGTAATTTCAATTTCTTATCTTATCAAATTTAAATACGTATTATAACTTTTTCACGTATATCGAATATGCCGGAGACGAAACCGATGATCTGATGAAATTAGTCTTCCAAGGAACTTCGACCTAGGACCATGGTGCTCGCGATCGGTGATACTTTATCCACGAAGATCATGTGGTCGCAATGGTTAGGCGGTATCTGCGGTAAGAAAACTACAATTTTCTAAATAATTTCATTATTCTGTACAGAAATTTAATTTTGTCTGATCGACCTTTTTCCTGAAACCGCACTATTCCTTCAACCAGATTTTCACCTTCCGTTATAGTTAATCATATTCACGGCTCTTCCGGAAGTTAAACTTATACGTCAAAATTTGTAATCCTTTCAGACTAGCTAGTATGTGATCATCCGTATTTATGTTATTTTACTTTTACATTAAATTTGCATGGATGACATTTTGTTCCATGGCCGATGCAATGATGCACGATGAAACCATCACGTTAATAATCACGCTGTTTCTCTCTTTTATCTCAGGATATCGAACGAAGTCTCATTTTTTTTAATTATTTTTTTTAACCAAGGTTTGGTATGAAGTCCACGGTAAAAACGATCATTTACGAGAGCTACGGGAGTAGTGTTCGCGATACCATGAATTGGTACGATTTATTGCAAATGATGTATCCCATACAGTGACCTTGCTGACCATTGAGGTGGGTCTCCTGGGCGGATGGAGTTCGCCATACCTGGCGAAGTTGACCGTGGAAGATTCACCAATTCCTCTGTCTCCGGAGGAGGCTTCCTGGGTGGCATCTCTGATGAACCTGGGCAGGTTGGCAGGAGCAGTGCTCGGTTCCGTCGGGGTCGAGTTCATAGGCTCGAAGACCACCATGTTGGTCACCTGCGTGCCGGTGTCCCTCTGCTGGATACTGACCATCATTGCAGACTCCGTGAGCTGGCTGTACGCTGCCAGGTTGTCGGGCGGTATTGGATTGGGCATGGCATTTAGCAGTTTTCCATTGTACCTCGGCGAAATAGCCGATCCTTCGATCCGGGGTGCCCTGGTCTCTATGGCCATCTGCGGGACACCAGCAGGGAACGTGATCGCATCCCTCACAGGGGCCAACCTCCCGATGACGATATCCAGCGAGATCAACCTGATACCGTGCATAGTGCTGATCGCGCTCTTGTTCTGGATCCCCGAATCCCCCCATCACTTGGTTCTCAAGAACGACATGGAGGAGGCGAAGAAGTCCATTCGCTGGTACCACGGGGACGGAGACGCGGAAGCCGAGCTCACGTCATTGGCCAAATTCGTGTCAGCCTCGCAGTCCCAGACCTGCTCGCAGAAGATCAAAGAGATGACCCAGCCGCACATCCGGAAGGCGATGATCCTAATCGTCGTGCTCTTCATGTTCATGCAGATGTGCGGCCTGAACAGCGTGATATTCTACATGGAGATCATCCTGAAGAGGGGCCAGGCCCAGATCATGGCCCCGTCAACAGTCGTCAACATCGTCGGCATGTTTGGGGTTCTGGCATCGGCTCTCTCGATCTACCTGATAGAAAAGTGCGGTAGAAGGTTCCTGTTGATCGCCTCGTGCGCCGGAGTGGCGGCATCCCTGGCCGCCCTAGGCATGCATTTCCTGTTCCTAGACCAAGGTGTGGACTCGGAATTACTGGATTGGCTACCCGTCGTGTCTCTGATCGTCTTTGAGTTCGCCGTGTTCGCCGGTCTCATGCCGGTCCCCAGCACCGTCCTTAGCGAGCTCTTCCCCGCGAACGTCAAGTCCACCGCCGCCTGCTTCGGGAGCGCCTCCTCGGCCATTTTCGCCTTCGTGTCCAGCAAGACCTATCAACCCATGGTGGACGCCTTGGGGGAGCACTACGTATTTTGGATCTACGGAGGGATCGTCATCCTAGCGATCCCCTACGCACTGATTTACATGCCCGAGACCAAAGGCAAATCGTTGCAACAAATTCAGGAGGACCTAGCAAAGACCTAAACCCTGTCAACGGGACCTGGACTAGCAATGAAGTAACGAGTTAAGGAAACCCGAACACTTATCCGGAGAGCTGGGAACCCGTCTGCGGATCACGTCAAATCTCCATGACTGAGCTGAACTTCGAGGAGCTCGTGAAGGAACCCGATCGAAACTAGACATTTGGAAAACGGTATATGTATACGCGGATGAGACTAAGTTCCTTCTCCAAGGACTGTGCCGGGTTTAATTAAGGATGAACCGCGTACTCTCCGATTTACAGTGTCTGGATGCTCGTTTTAGGGATACTTAATCGTTTTAATGCGTTTTTGTTACTCGCCCCTGTCTACGATAATGCATAGAAATAGAACAAAAGGAACACTCATGCGGTCTTTCTAAGAGATGAGAATGGTGGCGGATATTTCGACGTCAGTTTCAGAGGATTCCGAAGTGCTTTCTTCTAAGAATAGTTTGTCTTATCCGTCAGCAATTATCTTCTTCGGAGTAATTAACAATCTACGATGTCGTCAGCCCGTAATGAAGGTGTCCTGGCTAATAGCCTGACTGATACGCATATAATTGTCTTCACAGCTGTACATATCTTGGCGATAAGTAATGTGCAATTATGAGAACCTTAAATCGAATGATGCAATTGTCTCGTGCTTCCGGTCGACCCCCCACCGCCAATGATAAGTGCTATTTGCACACGCTACATCAAGACACTCATCTCAAAATATATATATATATATATATAATTGTTACGTGCTCGTGATCGTTTTCAAATGTCATCTTATTGTTAGATGGTCGCAAATCCGCTTCCGGATGAATACCAAAACAGTCAAAGTGTGATCACCCGAAACAGGGTGGAGACATTTCCTTTGTCATACCCCGCAAATAAAAAATTCCCATCAACGCCCACCGCGACTTCCACTTAATTGCCGATACCTGACCAGAGGAAAAGTCCTTTACTACGCAATCTCTCTGACACAATTCTCTGGATATGCCATTTCGGTGTTTAGGGCAATAAAATAACGTACAGCGATTATTTTACCGCTTGACCCCCAGAAGTGGCCAACCTCCAAAATTACGAGGCAACGTTTCGTGCGTTCCCGCGCTTCCATTCGTTGCGTTACAACGTAACATAACGACAGTCGTAACGTTCTCCGCGCCGCGGTAACATATAATAAAAAGTACCGAACCCATTGTCCCTATCTCACGGGACCATGGACCGACAAAGCGACGACGAAACGGACGACAGATCGGGTCTCCGCAAAAATCAGCCCCGCGTGGGTCGAGCTCTTCGGGACCTCCACCGGAGTCCTTTCAATCCAGAGAAACCCGGTTTCCTCGGAGTAAACGTTGAAGACGTTCCGGCTCCATCCCAGATCATTTCGTCGGTCTCGATCGAGTCGGGATCGAATCGAAACGTGCCGTTTCCTTCGTTTCATCCACTTAGACCAGGGTCCAAGGTGGATGGGTACCGATGGGCACCTCCTACGCTGGGTAAACACCTTATAGCCGGCCGAGAGGATTTTCCGGAGCAACAACGAGAGGAGAAGAAGAAAGCGGAGTGCGCGACCCAAGTAATTTCCGGCCAGGCACGTATCACAGGCCAGGCTTTCCGTAAAACGGACTTCGAGGCACATCGATCCTCCAAACGATACGGTAAGTGCTCTCCACGCCATTACGCCGAGTGGTCGGTGCTCCTTTACCAGACGACTCTATCCCTACGCTTCGAGGGCTCCGGATCTATTGAAATTTCATATATCAACACTGATTAATCGCCCCTTGCGCATTTTAAGGAATGGATCGACGCATCGCGATCGACCAGGGAAAAGGGGTCCAAGATGTGCGGATGTGCATGGTAGCATGTTCAAAGCGGATAAGTTAATTTAGAAAAGGGTATAAAAATATTTAAAAAATATCTTTTGTACATACAGGTACCATTATTTAGGTGTGAGGAAAAGAAAAGGAAATTACCAATATAAGGTAGAAGAAGGAAAAATATTGATGAGGAAGTTCTTGGAGATAATGCGATTTGGAACGAGAAAGTGGAAATAATTGCAGCATCTAGTTGGAGATTCGGATGCATTTCGAAAGGGGCGCAGGAAATAGTGCCGGCCATTACCGGTGGCATCAAAGGAAAAACATTTGAGTCTGGAATTGAAACATTTCTAGGTTCCACATACCGAGAGAGCAACCGAGTTGCCAAATTGGCAAGTGGGCCAGCCGTCGCGTCTAAGCCAGTTTTAAGAAAGAAATGGAGACAAGGAGGGCCATCGATCACGCGTCAAGACCAACTAGGGCACATAGATTCGCATTTACAAGTTCTGGCCCAGATTCGCGAGAAGCATTCCGTCGGTGTCTACACATTTCGTCCGTCGGTCCGACAAACTATTTGATTTATGGTTTAAAGTGGCCGATTCGTCTATTGAGCCCAGAAACATAAATTCGTTTTGTCCGCACCCCAAGAAAGACATCGCGGGCAGTACCGCCGATAAGTATTAAATTGTTCAGAAAGTTATTGCAGTATTTCCTGTTCAAGAATTTAGGTATCATTTTTCAAAAGTCCTTTTGCTAATGCCTTGAAGATAAAGAACGTTGTAAACGACTTGTGTCCCTTGACGAAGATCACTTGAAGGTGCCATTGTGGCGTTTAAAATACAATAATTGTTATCAAAATATAGAGTACATAGTATAGTTTATCCAACTTCTCTTATCCCGGTCCCAATGCTTATAAAGTTACATTAAAGACTCGAGCGGTCAAAGTTATCCACGCATAATCAGGCAGAAAATGAAGTACTGTGTTCGATGATAGTTCTCAAAAAAAGATATTATATAAATCCTTAACAGTTTATCAAGTCCATTTCATGTAGGGAGAATTTCTCGGGGAGATTTCACGGATATAAAGCATTCTAGATGCATCATATATAATAGCAGCCGAGAAGACTCGGAAAAAATGTTCCAGATTCCAGTTTATGCCAGGAAAAGGGAGAAAAATAGATACTGCGGACAGACACGCATTTATGGATTGTGACCCAGATCAGCGAAACGGCATTGCTCTGGAATGGATCGATGCGCTCGTGGTTGACCGTACGATGTAGCAGTTGACCACTACGTCCTGCAGGACACTGGCCTTCCTTCTATCCCAACACGCGTCCTGACTTCCGGAAACCCAGCTAATTCGCCGATACTGCCATCACCGTTCGCATCACGTGCGGCCGGAAATAGCCGACGGTAACGAGCCAGGAAAATCCTCTCGCCAACATTAGAAGACTTCTGCTGGAAATAATTACCTGTCAATAATGTTGGATTTGAGAACCTGCCAACTTCCGATGCGCCGTTGCTGGCAACGTAACCGTTGTCAGTCCCCGATGAATCGATACCCCACGAAAAGTCGCTCATACTTCGCCCTTAGTATTAAAAGACGTTCTTCAGTTATGTACAGACAACAGATAAACGGCGTCTTTTAACGCTAAAAATGAGGTATGAGTACGAACCCAATGTACCGAAATGAGTACACCGCTATGAAACTCAAGTCGAGAACATCTAAACAATTTCAAGAAAATACTTTCGATTTCTTGTGGATATCCTCAAAATCAAACGTACTGAAATGAGAGGATCGTTTTTGGTCGTTATTGGAATGACCGATATTCTAACGTACTAAATTAACTCCACAGTTGCAAGTATCAAATCGGAAGCATATAATGCGACTTAAAGGGACCATTTACTTTTTATCAATTTTATGTATCAATTCCATGAATACTAAAAAATATTCGTATCGCGATGCCGGAGCGAACTCGGACCTCGAAGCGGCGAAGAAAAACACTCGACGCGATCCATCGGAAAAATCGGGAAATCGAGCACCCGAACGGCATCGCCTGGGCGTCCTGTAAAAACATACGAGTGCTGCATGAATATTTACGGAAGGGAAATGAGATGCAGGATGCGAACGAGAGGCAGAAATCCCTAGGGAACGCTCGCCATAATACCAGCGTGCAGTACGCCCGCCGGAAAATGTCCTGACCTGTCTCAAGGGTTGCAAAATTACTGAATTCCAGCGCTACCGGGGCTGCCTGCTGTTACATAAAGTGCACCTACGATCGCGTCGTTTACATGTAAAACCAGACGTTACATCGACGCGCAAAATGTCATCAATAGAGGGGTTAATGTCGTTAGAAGAGGGCTTTCGAAGAGCCACCGATTTCAACTTCGTTGCTGCTAAATAATGTTGAACTGAATTGAGTTTCTGGTCTCTGCAAAGAGACTCCAAAGTAAACTCGGTACACCGTCCTGTGGGTAGATTTAAATATTCTTTTGTCCAAAAAGTAAGTATTTCATTTTCCAATCTGCATATCATAGCACAGTAATCTTCTCCATTTACTAAAGCGCTGTTTCGTGCGTATGCATGTATGTGTATGTATCACGAAACAAAGGTAACGCTTTTTCGGCGGGTTCCGGTTCGTATTTTGTTTTGTAATCGTATTAGATATTATTCCCGCCATGTACATTTTCATTATGAAGGTCTTTTTCGTTAGTTTTTGCCAAAATTTAAAAATAAGAAAGTCAACGCGATAATGAATCCCAACGGGTTGAAATGGCGCCAAACAATGCCGAATAAAAGGTTTGTCTAGAACGCTCGACACACGGCTAATGTGTACAACGGGTTAACCAGTTCCATCGCTAACGAACAATTGAGACAATTATAATTAAGGTGCACAACGCTTGCTGGAATCTTCTAATTTGCCGTTGTAACGACTTGGACAGGTCCGCGGGTTCGCCGGCGATGGCGGACGACATCTCGTTGCAAAATGCGCAATTCCAGGAAAGTCCAATTTCAACTTACCGTGCCGCAAACATTGTCTTTCGCGCGCTACCAATTTCCCCATGGTCGAACCACGCCGTAGCCGAGAGTTAGTGCTCACCTGAAAATGGACAACGATACCAAATTGAACGATAGGAGCTCGAACGGGTTCCATTGCCAGACATGAACGATCTTTTGCCGTGGAAGTCCATGTCTTTCACGATAAAAAATTCTATACACTAATAAGCATGTCTTTACCGACGAATAAAAATTACTTAAGATCCATTCCCAAATATGAACGTCCCTTTGACATAGAAGTCCATATCTTTCGCCAAAAAATTTCGACATCCGCGTAAATATACCTTTTCTGATGAATAAAAATGATTGAAAATCCGTAGCCAGTTTCAAACGTTCTTCTATAGAATAATATAGTAATAGAAGTAAAATTATATATATAATAATAGAAGTAAAAAGAAATTAGAACATTACCAGAGAGCTAACAGCTTAATTTTCTTTCTATTTCTTATCCATCTGAAAATATTACGTCTCGATCAATGGTTGATCCCATACTTTTAGGTTGAATTGAACTACCAAGTTTCGGATATTTTGTGAAAAACACTGACCCACTGCAGTGTTAAACAAAATACGAGGAGAGCCGATGCGAGCGCATTTTTATTCGAATTCCCATTTCCAGAGGGAATGGAGCCGTAAATACACATACGCGTTTGCAACAAATGGCTCATTTGCGCAGACATAGCTGGACAAAATAAGCGGAGCCAATGACGAGCTCAGTAAACAAGGTGTACGCGCGTCCACCGATTTACAGTGATCGACATGAACGCGCTCACGTCACGCTCGACCGCCGGATTATTGCTAATAAGAGCAATTAATTGGTCGCACCGTAATGTTTATGTTCGTAATGAAAACATCCACGGCATCGGTACTCAC